AGACGGCTGGCACGTTTTCAAAAGCATGTTGTACAAGGCAGAAAATATGGAAATCTGTATAAACACTGAAAAATGCTGTTTGCTATAGTGTGAAGAAAATTGTTGTCAGCCACATAAAAAAAACTCTATCATCACTAAAACTAAAATGCAATGCAGATGTTTTTATCAAATGCAATTTACTATGCAATTACTGTATTTTATCAGCATGCATTTTTTTGGGAATTAAATCCATCCAACTGGTTTTAAAAGCCAAACAGAAAAAAGAAAGAAACCAAACTGTGTAAGACAATAACATGTTTTCAGAGAATTTCTCTTGAATTAAGTCTCTCCACTGGGGATTTTTAGCACAAGTCTCATTAAAGTCTGCAGCTCAGTAGGTTTTGGATCGGAGAAAGACACACAACGGGAGAAATCCGGCGAGGATTAGCGTGTCTCTGTTAACAGGAAATTCCATCAGTCAGAGCCGCTGTGCTTCCCGATGCGAGCCTTCAATAAAACGACAGCACTTGACCTCTGACCTTACATGCGCCTGCAGGAACACACGGCTTACTTTTCACCTCTGACTCTCCAATCAGTCCAATGCGAACGCACGGCGAGCGGGACGATCTAAAGATAACAGAGGCAGATTTGGGAGGAAGTGCAGGGGCAGTAGAGGAGCGTGACGTACCTGTGCTGCTGTTGAGCGACTGCTGTTTGCATTTCTTGAAGTGGAAGCGTTTAATGGCCACCGGATTGCCTCTGTATTTGGCTCTGTAGATGATGGTGCCGCTGCCACCCTGTCCCAGGATATCTGCTGCATCTTCACTGCACTGCAGGTCACTCTTCAACAGGAACAACCTGAAGCACACACAGAGATGCTCTGACCACATGTGTATGTATGTGTGACTCATATTGGTACAGAAGATTTCTACTTTTTTTTTGGTAAGTTTTTATTCATCAAAAAAATATTGAAAAAAGTATCACAGGCTCCAAAAAATACATTAAGCAGCACAACTTTTTCCATTGATAATAAATCAGCATATTAGAATGATTTCTGAAGGATCATGTGACACTGAAGACTGGAGGAATGATGCTGAAAATCCAGCTTTTCATCACAGAAATAAATTAAATGTTACAATATATTACATTAGAAAGCAGTTGTTTAAAACTTTAATAATATTTCACAATATTCCTGTCTTTAATGTATTTTTGATCAAATAAATGCAGCGTTGACGAGCAGAAGAAACCTCATTAAAAAATAAATAAATATCTTACTGATCCCACAATTTTACCGTAGTCTGTCTGTCTGTCTGTCTATCTATCTATCTATCTATCTATCTATCTA